TGTCTACTTTTTCCTCAAGCTGCATGTTGTGGGATGCATCTCTTAAAAGTGCAATGTACCATCCCTCTCATGGTCTAAAGTGGAACAAAAATGACCCTGCAGGTATTTGTACTAGGACTTAAGGTCTAGTAACAAGAATTTCTGCACTAGAATTACTATAAAATAATGGAGGTGGACATGGGGATACTAGCTGACCAGATGAAGACACGTGCAGCGAGCCTTAAGAAAGGTAGATATCCTAAGATGAAATAGTGAGTGTAGATATTTCCAAGAGAGAGACAGAGAAGTAGAAGTTTATTTCACACAAAGCCCTGGTGATACCTTGCCCAGAAGTCTGTCCAGTCTAATCACAAATGTGGAACACTGGGATAAGAAGAGACAAAAAAGAGCCCAAACACCACCACCAACTCCTCCTCCTCAGGGTCTGTAAGGTTAAGTTTTAGTCTGGAACACAGTCAGCTTAATAAAAAGATCACATGACAGTATTTCTTCTGATTGCAGGCGTCTAAAGCTTGTCTTTTCCAACACCATATTCTTATATGTTTCTGTGTATTTCTAGATCAGCTTGTGCTTGAGTCTTCACAGTATATTAGGGATGAAGAGCTCATATACAATGAAACAGGAAGAGTTTTAAAACATAGCTCGGACATAATTCATTTGCAATGAGAAGCATATAGAAACCTGTTCTAGATAGAACAGTATATAAATGGTCTTTAATATACTTCATTTTCTTATAGGATGATGCCATTTAGATAATGCAGGGTGAAACATATCTATAGCGGTATCAGGAACTCTTGACAAATATTCTGGTTTTGTTACTAGCCTATCAAATGTTTGGTATCGGAGAAATGCTACAGGAAGGTGGAGTGTTCTGAGTGGTGGTACTGGGGTGTAGCATGACACTGGGAAGAAATCTGGGGAGTGGATGAACCAAAGATCATAGGTAATGATTTAAAAGGAGGGAAACATACCAGATAATGCTTACAAAATGTGCATTAATACACTATCTTTTGCCTCTTTTGGCAATTAGCAACCATCTGCCATGCAGGAGAGTTTAGATAAAGTGAGGAGTAGCAGAACAGGGCCTGTGGGTATCTTCCTCATGTACTGCTCTGCACTGATTTTTTTGTTAAATATTAGCACATTACTAAGATCAAAACAGATGTTCCCTGAATCCAAATAATACCTATTGCTATGTTAAATTTTTATCAAGAGACACTTAATTTCGTGACCTAATATTAACCATCCTTCAATTGTAATATTTCAGACAGTATTAAAAATATGTCTGTACTGGCAACAGTGATCCGTAATTATCATTATTTCTTGATTTTACTGTCAGGTCGCGCACTGTTGGCTTTGATAGATTCAGGTCATGCACTGCTGTAACACAGGTCAATTAGGTCAAAAGAAGTAGACCCTTTAGTCTTATGCCTCTAAATGTTTTCAAACTGAAAATTATATGATAGTAATAGAATAGAATAGAAGATTTCAGGCATCCACATATTTGCAGTTAATCCCCAAACAGGAATAAGCTCGTAGGAGGAACTGGATTAATTTCATTATGCTTTTTTTTTTCCTTTGGGGTAAGGATTATGGATCAAAAAATCCTGAAACAGAGTCTTGTAATGTGATACAATTCATTGTAGTCGCCTTGACCTTGGAGATGAGAGGATGGAGGCAGCTAAACACTGCAACAATTTACTGAGAGTTTTAGTAGTGTGTCAATCACTTGAAATCAAGTAAGAGATTTAGATTTTTAAAATCTAGGAGTCCACTGTGAAAGGTTGCCCTCAAAATGGGGAGGGGGAAGAAAATAATTAGTTCATTTCTAGAAACAGATTCTAGGTTTTACCGGCATATACTCTGGCTGCTGATTGTAATGTGCTAAGTTCTTTTACAGCTGGTTGCCTTCATTTGATTGAACTAAATTGGGCTTTTAAATTTAAAATACATCAAGTCAACAATACAAATAGAAACAATCCTTCTTTTGTTCCTTTATAAAGAAGCACTTGAAGTGGCTGATCAAAGGGGCTACAGATCCCTTTAGTGAGGATCTGGTAAATCAAGCTATCATTTTTATGAATAGTATTTTGTATCTTACTTTGGTTTTAGGTTTTTTTTATGTAGCAGAATTCCGTTAGTGAAAGCTTCTCTGCAATTCTATTTCCTCTGCTATATAATGTTGATCTGTGAAATTGCGTTTAATAAATATTACAGTAGTAGTCTGACTATATCTTAAGAATGTGTTTCCCCAGATCATCTGTGAAGCCTGAAAGACACCTTTTAATTAAGATCTTAAGCCTTTAACAGATCATGAAGGGAGTATTAAGGCACAGGCCTGAGAACATAGTGGAACTGTCCTCACTTGATAGTTAAACCAATGTGCTTTTACAAATCAATATGCTTTTGAGGTCTTGAGAAAATAGACAGTAACAGGATTTTCTATGTTTTAACCATTACGGTCAGTCTGCGGTCAGTCATTTAATAATTCCAGCTTTGCATATCTGAAGGGGAATATTCCTTCTGCTGCAGAAATCGTGCTAGCTCCTAACCCCCGAAGCCTGGGGTTCTAGTTTGAAGCCTCTCACAAATTGCTGCTGACATTTGTGCACATAACAACTTGAGTTGTTTTGTCCTCAGGAGTAATTTCACTGCTAATTTTGTAGGCCACTTAACAGATTTTGTGTATTTTAGGTAAATTTAAAATCCAGGGTACTGTATTGGAATTGGGCATTGAAAAGAGTGAGAGGTGCTCTTGTAACCCTGCTGAAGACCTCTACTTTTCTGTTGTGCCTTAGTCAAATGGGCAGTGTGGAGAGACTTCTGATGCTACTGCTGCTTCTGTACTGAGAAATTACTGAAT